CTGTTCTTTCATTGCTGCCTAATTTCTGAGAAGCTTTGAGTAAAACTTTCAGTTGTGAAAGAAAGAGAAACCACTTGTCTTTTTTACTTCTTCTCCATTTCTCTGCAGTAGTACCTAGAGAGGAATAAAGCATGAGTGTGTGTAGGGGTTGTGCAATTGAGGAGATGCTTCCCCCCTACTGCAGGACAAAGTGCAGTGCTTTGGGCTGTGCCCAAGCACAGGGGCACAGGGCTCCTGGTCTGGGTGCTCCAGCTCCTGTTGTAGTTTCACAGAGAGAAAAGTAAAAGATTGTGGAGTAAGAAGGCATCAAGTGTTGGATACATCAGTACGGAACTCCCTTAGGGACCATGGGTTCCTTCATCAACAGAGTTTCTAGGAATCTGGAGAATTGGCACTGTCAGATGTCATCCTGCTTTCTGAACAACCATGTCTGGACTTAAGATCTTCATTTCACTATAGCTGCCTTGTAAAACAGATGCTGGTTCTTCAAAGTCCTTTGGATAAGTAACCTTCCTTAGTATTTCCATGTGATGCAGAATTGTTTGCATTTTGTGAGAGCGGTGTTTCAGAACACATGTAAATTCTGCCTCATAACCTCAGCGCCTCCCTTCTTGCAGAGCACATTACCTTATCTGTGCGTCATGATGCCTGTCTCAGCGAGTGACTTGCTCGGCTGTGCACTGTGTCCCCACCTCGAAGCCTTACCTAGTAAGGTGAATGCAGCGTTGCATTCAGGCTCTGTCAGCGCACATACCCTTGCTCGGCAACTGCTGTCGAAATTCTCAGCCATTAATGCAAATTCTTTCTAATCTGCTAGCCAAATGGCTGCCTGCATCATGTGGATTACCCAGCTTGCCAGCACACAAAGGGCTGGGTGACTACAAGGGAATTTTCATCCCTGTCATCTCCTGGATACTTTAATGAGCTCTTACCAATAAGGTTAATCACCGAGACTTCTCAACCTCTCTTTGCTCTCCTATGGCGCCTCACGGTGCGTGTTGGCAACCGGGGGCGTTATGGCTTTCTCTTTGGGGACAGGCCGATGGATGAGTCAGTTTCAATACTTTTCCTCCGTACAGAAATGCAGTGATGTATTTCGGCTGTGTCTTTCGCAGCGGTAGCGCACATGTGTGTTAACGCCTGCCTCGTGAGGGCTGACTCACACCTCTGAGCGCTTTCCCCAACTCTCCATGTCTTACTGTTAGTGACTTCCCTTGCTTCTACATGCTTTGTCAAAGTGGTGCCCGCAGCTCTTCGTTCTGGCTCTGAGGAATGTCTGGGGTCCCTTCCCATGGGCACGACCTGCAGCAAGCCACTTCTTCCATAGGCCTGGCCAAAGGTCTGCCTTATAGGGTGAGAGAATCCAGCTCTGTTCCTGCAGAAGGAGGTATGCACGGGGGATGTGAGCGTTTTCTTTTTTCTTGGAATGCACTATTGAACCAGGCTGCCACACGCGTTCCCTCTTGCTGCGGTGACACAGTGACACGCTTTTTGAAGAGCAGCCACACTCCTGTGATTGCCTGATCCTGTCACCACACCGCTCTTGAGGCATTTTCTGTGCTCGGAAGCTCTGCAATCTGATTTCTGCTCAACAAGAAACTGAAACAAGCTTCTAGGGGGAGCCGCGGGGCTGCTGCCGGTCGTCTCACAGTGAGCTTCTCCCTGCCCTGACTGCTGGGGAACTCCAATCTCTGAACGCAGGGGCAGTTCCTATGCCGTGCCAGAGCGCCGGGGTGGGGAGGCAACTCAGCAACACGCACCCAGCACCAGGCTGCAAGGTAAGGAACCACTGCAGGGCTGTTTGCTCTCAGCTGAAAACTGAGTAAACTGAAACTGGTTGCATTCAGCAGGGAGAACGCCTCTGTGCAGTTGTTTTCACACAGCAGAGAGATGCGTTTTAAAAATAGCACCGTCGTAAACCAAGCAAATTTGGTGGAGCCGTACTCTGGGCATGTGCTGCTTTCAAGTGATTTTCAACACCGTTTCCACTCGCTATTTTTAACTTTATGGACGACCACTGTGAGGAACAGGGGAGGCTTTATGTGGCCACTGGGCCCAGGAGCGGGCCAGGCACTGCCCGTCGTGTGTCTTGCCTTGGTTTGGCACAGCACTGAGGTGGGCACGCAGAACGGGAGTGAACGGAGCTTCGGGTGCTCCCGTTGGCGGTGGCTTCAGTTTCCCTCTCAACCTGCCACAAGCAGCGAGGAAAAGGAGTTACTTCACCAAGTGCTGCCTCGCAGCTCCCACACAGCGGCACACAGCATCCCGGCGCTACTTCTACATCTCAGCCCCTCGCACTTTTCAGACTCGTTCAGTTCCCACAGCGGCTCTGACGGACTACTGCGCGCTGCCGGTGCCCGCGCTCTGACGGGATTTGCGCGGTTCCCCTACACGGAGCCCGTTCCGCGCACACCGCCCCGCACCGCGCGGAGCCCTCCGCCCGCCGCCGTGCCCACGAGGCGAGGCCGGGCCTCGCGGGCAGCGCCCGATGGCCGCCGGGACAAAGTCCGCCGGGCGCGGCGGGAGGCCCCGGCTCCGCGGAAAACAGCTGGGGACGACCCCGGGGCCGGTCCGAGGGATGCCGCGCGACGTCGCTCCCGTCTCCGGGCCCGGCCCCGAGCGGTCGCGGGGGCGTCCCGGGACGCGGAGCTGAACCCGCGGGGCTGCGTGCCGTTCTTCTCGGCCTCGGCGGCGGACAGGGCGGAGCGCCTGGGGCATTTGCATGGGGGACGCCGCTCCGCTCCGCTCCGCGCCCTGCCGCCTCCCGCCGCGCTTCCGGGGCCGAGGCCGGGGGCCGGTTAGTGACCCCGCGCCCCTCCCCCGCGCTGGGCCGGCTCGCCGCCGCCATCGCCACCACCGCCGCCGCTTCTTCTTCTTTTTTTTTCTTTTCTTTTCTTTTTCTTTTCTTTTCTTTTCTTTTCTTTTCCTTTTTTTTTTTTTTTTTTTGTTGCATAAATTATGCCGGGCGGGGCCGTGACGTCGCAGTGGGGCGGAGCGCGTGGCCGCGCTCGCCCCCGGGGAGGGGGCGGTGTCGGGGGCGCGCCTTGTGGTGGCGGAGGGAGGGGAAGAAGGAGGAGGAGGGGGCGGCCGCGGCAGCCGCCTGGCTGGCTGGTGTCTCGCTCGGCTCGGCTCGGCTCCTGCGGGCGCGCTCGCTCGCTCGCTCGGGAACTATCGGATTAAACTTGAATCGAGTGAAATTACACAAAGGAGCGGAGCGGAGCCGGGACCCGGCGGAGAGACCGAAACTGCCCGAACCCCGCGCTGACCCTTCCTCTCTCCCTCCCCTCTCCCTCCCGCCCCGGTCGAGGAGCCCCCTCCTCCCCTCTTAGCCCGGCCCCGGGGCGAGCGAGCAACTCCGTGTGCGTGTGTGAGCTCCGCGCCCCCCCCGGCCGGCGGCACCAACTCCGCGCCGGGTGCCCCCCTCCCGCCCGGCCCTCGGCGGAGGGCAGCGAGCAGCGAGCGGGGGGCGCCAGCCCCCGACGGCCCCGCGTCGACCCCGGTGAGTGCCCGGGGAGGGGGCGGGCGGGAGGGCGCGGAGCGGCAGCGGGGCCGGGGGTGGGTAGGGGGACGCCGCGCGGCCGCGGGCGGGGCCGGGGGGGGTCCCAGCGGGGCGCTTCCCCCGGTGTAAATGGCTTTTTGTTGTGCTGCGGCCGCCTCGGGGGAGGGGAGGGCAGCGGGGAGCCGGAGCGGCGGCGCCCCTTCCCCTTTCTCTCCCCCCCAACCCCCCCCACCCCCCCGCCCCGGTTCCTCTCGTTTATTTTGGGGGAAAAGTTGAGCGCAAAGTGGGGGGGGGGGGGGGGGGCGCCCCCCCCCCCCCCCCCCCTCCTCCGTGCTTGACCACGCTGCCGACGGCACGGGAAGCGCTGTAACAAAGTGAGGGCGCTGCCCTGGCCCGGCCCGGCCCGGCTCGGCCCCGCACATGGGGCTCAGCCCCCAGCGGAGGGAGGCAGGAAGGCGGGCGGAGGGAGGAGGAGGAGGAGGAGGAAGGAGCACGCGGTGCCGGTGCGCGATTGTCCTGCTCCGGTGGCAGGCGGGCAGCGGGGGGGGG